GAATTTTATTTACTTCTCCTGTTTTTCACGGAGTCATCTGATCCCTCTGTGATTGAAATTGACAGTGGAGAGGGGAGAGGTAGTATTTCCTTTCCAAATGTATATATATGTAAATACAAATATATAGGTATATCTATACAAGAAGCGGGTGGAGAGGAGCCTTATTTAGTCAATAAATACTCATATACGATGTTGTGTGGGATATTTCTCTATACTGCAATATGTACAGTACCTTTTGTGTGGGAAGTACTCCGTACTTGCGCTGAGACGGCCAGCACCCACTCAGAGTGGGGTGAAGAAACGTTGCTGGAGAGAATAATGGCAGAAAGCAATTTTATTTTTTTTTTGCCAGAATTTTTTTTCCAGGTTTCAAGCCGGTTGAGCGTCCATTCTGAAAAGCGATGACCTTGGTTCTCCTTTCCTTTCTTCGAAAATCATAAGGCTAGGGAGGATTATTCCGCAAGCGCCCATGTTTAAGTTGTATATACGGATATAGATGCACCCCTCGATGTCTTTTCGGAATTGGAATGGAAAATAGAGATAGTCCAAAATGGCCAACAGTGTCGAAAGGTTTATCATTCATCTCTATCGGCGTTCAACAGAAAAACATAAGCACAGATCGATAGATGGGGCTTTTGCTCGAAGTTGTTCAAATCGCCCATCTATGAACAATGAAAAGGAAATAAATTGCATCGAGCTCCGTATCTTCCGACTTGGATGTTCAACACCATAAATGTTGCACTGGATTTCATTCTCTGTCGCTCATATGCTTGGCAATCCTTGGTTCAAATTCGCATATTACATATTTTGCAAATCGAAGTCGAAAGTAAGATATTATGAGGATCCCCCATCTTAATCCGCGGCATGTGGTCAAACTTCCCACTCTTCCCATGCCCTGCTGCTTTGTTCCTGCAAGAAAGCTGCAACTAGGCAGAGTTATGTATGCCTATTCCCGCCTGTCAGTTGAAGGTCAGTCTATGATGATTTCTGAAATGGTATTTGGGCTGCTGGCTAGAGATCGATATCTACTTCGATGGCCTGAATTCGAATATCAATTTGTAATGACCATCATGTCATTTTCACCCACAACCCAAGATGTCGCACCCGTGGGGAGCTCAAACAGCACGAGCAAAGGAACCACCATCGTTGAGATCAACAGCTGCAAGCGAAAAGTCGAGGAAACTTCCTTGTCCTTCCCCTCTCCTCCTCCGCAGTACCTCCAACAAATATCGTTCCTTTCTTGCGGTTCGCGATCGGGGTGGTTTGTGGGGGTTGGGGTCTAGACACGGGAATGCAACGGAACAGCCTGGTTTGGCTCGAGTTGACAAAGTTGGAAAGTTGGCAGCATCCCAGGCTAAGCATTTTGGGTTGCTCTGTTTCAGCATCCAGCGAGAAGTTAGTTGATCCTAGAGCATGTCATAGGATTGGTCTGGGCTTCAAGTTAAACGCACAAAATGTCTACATTGGCCAATTTGCTGATATGGCTACGAGTAGCTCTCGCTCACACAAGAGTGAGAGACAGAAATAATCCCTAGTAGAAATTAAATGGTCCATAATCTTGAAGTTGATCCCCAGCTGTGGATACATCCGCCCCCCCACACAGCATGAAGACTGATGCTGTCACTGTGACGGAGACAAATGAATGATTGAAGAATGTGGTATTCCGGTATTACAACGATGGGGGAGGCGGTCAACGCCAGCCAACGGCGTTATTGGGTGGTACCTGTTTTTGGCGCGGGATTTGTGTTGGAAATCAGGTCCTCACCCATCCAACGGTGGTCTGGACCGGCGGTTGAACGCGCGTCACGTATTGTCATGGCAGGCTAGCTCAATACGGTAATCCGACCACCTCCCGTCTTCTTTTCTCGTCCATCGCCATCATCATCATCATCATCATCATCATCATCATCATCACCCTCATCATCTTGACAACTCCCACAGCACTCACTCGACATTCTTGTCTCTCCTGTTGTTCCCTGCCCTCTCCTGTGTCTCCTCCACCTCCTCCATCCCCCACTCTCTCAGTCCCCAGCCAAGTTCTCCGGACTGCTTAGCGCTTGATTCGACCCCTGTTCTTCTCTTGTCCTCTCTCCCCACAGGAACAGTTACTCAGCGCTATCGCCTCTTGGGGAACTTCTTGGTGGGCGTTACAATCGCTGGCGGCCTGGAACTGGCTGCCCGTCTTGCATTGTTATCCCTGTGTGGTCGAAAGAGGCCTAACTTTCGTGTTCGCTGGGCTTCGCTGGGCTTTTCGACGTGTGTTTGCCCCATTGGTCTTGTCCTGCTAAAACGTCTCCCCCCGGTGCAACAGTTGTCAAGCTAGTTGGTCTCGCCTCTGACCTTTAATTCCATAGGGCTCAGAAGTGGCCACGACGCTCCGGGAATAAGTGACAAAACGGGAGTGCCGAGAAGAAAACAACAAGACCAAAGGAAACTAGGAAAAATACAAACAACCAACGAGCAAAAAGTCCACTAAGACCGCCCATCGAACGCCAGGAACGTGGTCGTACTCCGCACGCCAAAGCACTAAGGCAAAAAGATAATCGAACAGCCCATCCGTGATTGATCGACAATCAAACATTTCTTTCATTTCGCCTCCATCCGTTTGTTAAAAATAAAAATCCCCCTTTTGGAATAATATTTGGGGAAATAATTACCATTAATAATAATAATCAGCCGTCAAAGTCATCACCAATCCCTTCGGACTGTTTAGGGGTTCTATTCTTTTGACCCAACCCTTTAAATCTACCAACCAGAGAGATTATCCCAATCATGATCTTCGGTTTCGCAGCCTTACAGCAGTAACAAGAACCAGTGACAACGAACATCCGGCGCTTCCATCTCTAAATTACCTCCTATACGACATTTATTTCCGAACAAAGTATGAAGCCAGCTTACGTCTGTTAACCATTATTTTACCTTTCCTTCTTTTTCCTTTCTTTTTTTGAGCGGTGTAACGCCTGCTGGGAGAATTACGACCAAACCTGCGGGCTGGCTCCAGCATATTGCGCGCTATCCGTTCCTCGAAACCTTACGAAAACCTGCTTCCTGAATTTTGTCAT